AAAAAAAAAAAAAAAAAAAAAAAAAAAAAAAAAAAAAAAAAAAAAAAAAAAAACAGGAAAACAACATTGAAGCACAAATAGCCAATTGTTAGGGAATGCATATATACATGAGGGGACTTACATTTCAGTACAAGGCTGAGCTTGTAAAGCTAAGACTAGATGCAAAAGAAACTTCATAGCATTCTGTACAGAAGTGGTCCGTGTGAAAATTAACCTTGTTACCTCCACAAAGCAGGATGGACTGTTTTCTTTTTCAAAAACCAACTCTCCCATTTAGACATCTCCAAGAACTGTAGTCAAATGTACTTCTGGGTCATCACTGAAAATGTCAATATGCAGCTAAATATGAAAAAGGTGTATGTCTATGCTTCCTTTATTTAGAGGTACAACCTAAAGGGCAGGAGTGCTTTATGGGAAACAAAATCTTCAGCAATCTTTGCCAAAGCATGTGAAGGACAGTGTTGTCACATTATTCTTGTTATGTTTGAAGTGAAAGCTGCCATCACTTCCAGCACCTTAGTATTAACAGTCAAATCAGGGGATCACTGACCCTCGAATCACATCAACTTTGTCCTCGTATATCTTGTAATAAAACCAATGGCTTTCAAAATACTGTGTGAACCATTATCCTTTTTAAATCAGTTGTCTCCACAATTTCAGAGATATCCCTACAAAAGAATATCCAAGCAATCAGATTGGTAATTTCTTCATTAAAATAAACGAATGCCCTGTAAATAGGGAAGAGGATGGAACAGTCACTGCTACCTGCATTCCTGATCCTGTAAAGATAATCCACACTTCTGGACCCACTCCATGCTTTGGTAGTGACTCACATTTAAAGTGCCCCAAAGCAAAATTATAATGTCTGCCATTCTGTCTTCTGAAAGGATTTTCCACATTTAAGGAAAACAATATCCTTTTAGTTACACAGGCTTGACAGGGCAATCATATAACATTGTTGTGCCCCGGTCGCTTCAACATCTTCTCATTCCTCCTTTTTTCCCCTGACACACCAACACCAAATTAGTCAAAAAATCTCCTACTGATGTTACTTTGTTTTTTTTGAAAGGTTTTTTTTTTTTGCTATAGGGCGCGTGCACTCGCCAGACAGAGAGAGACAGAGAGATAGAAAGCAAGAAACCGCCCCCTAGGCAGGATGGCCACGCCGCAATCCCTTCTCCTCCATTCTTCTCTCGGGATCTTGGGCACGCACGCACACGCACCTAGCGTGAGTTTAAGCCAGGTCCAGGACTCGAACCGCAGTCAACTACGAGGGAGTCCAGCGACATAGCCATTACGCTAATTGCTGGTCCCAACTGATGTTATCTTTAAAAGGATTCTTGTTCTGTTCACTCCGTCCTATTCCCTCTGCCTGCTCAGATGCCTAATAATTAAGTTATCCTGCAACTTAATTATAAAATTCTGCCTCAAATCTCTTTTACAATTTATGATACACCGTATCTAAGTACTATTTTTAAAGCATGGTTCTAATTTTGTCACTACGGGTCAGGAAACAGCATTGGAGGGTGAGAATGGAG